AATATATATATATATATATATATATATATTAATTAATGTGAATGAAAGAAACAAAAGAGCAGGTGGGACCCATGTGAGCAGTGATATATCTGACACGCTCTCTCTGTAGACCTGACACAAAAATTTTATATATATATATATATTCTCTCTCTCTCACACAGTAAAAGGTGACTATGTGCGTTTCTCTTTCACACACAAGCAGTGTTTGGGGGCAGCATTTCGGTTGCACAACGTATTGTAGGCTGCCCTAAGGTGACGTGGTCGGTTTATGCACTCATGTCCAAAAAAGTCAAAAACGGGGACAGGCCGACGGCTAATACCGGCCTATACGCCGCTATAACCCAAGCCGGCCCACTTCCCAAGCCCATTTTGACATTTCCCTCATTATTATTATTATTATTATTATTATTATTATTATTATTATTATTATTATTATTATTATTATTATTATTATTATTATTATTATTATTTGACTACTTTACAATATATAATATTTTCAAATTTTTTTGAATAGCTACCACTACAAACTCAGTTAGTTGTTCGATTTTTACTTGTTTAAATACTAGTTGGCTGATGGCTGTGCACGCACAGCCGACTCGAGTTTAGCCTAATATTAAAAAATAATAATTGTTTTTGGGTCTGCAATAAAAAATATTGGTTAAAATGTGTCCATCATTATACATATATTTGCCAAACTCAAGAATACACATACATACATTTTCTTGAAATTACTACATATAAATCCATCACAAAAGTAAGAGTCCCACAACATGACAAAATACTCAATAACCATAAAAAACGTCAAAAGAAAGTTTTTAGTCCAACATAAAATCCTTGAAGTTGTCTTTAAAAGCAAGCGATTGCCATTGGCCCAACAATCTACCCTTCATTGTACCCTCATTATGTTATAATTTAGTTTTTAATTAATTTCTTGATTGTGTTAAGTAATAGGTAATTATTAGTCCTAATTTTGTCTTTTATTTGCCGTTATTTTGTTCTAATTGAAATGATTATGGTATTGATGCGAAAATTGGGCATCTTTGGTCCAACGATGTCGATCGAAAAAATTCAACCCATTTCAGAAAACCTTACAGATTCAGCTTTCAAGAGTTGAATTCTCCATATCCATTTCTATGCATATGAAAACCAGATTTCTTATCATCATTCAATGACGATGAAAGTGTTGTTTTAACAGTTTACAAACAAATTTTGCATCACCATCACTGTCCATCCATTATTTCTCCACGATTATCAGTATCACTGTCATT